ATTCACTCTCAAACAGAGAACATGTAATTTACTTTGCTTAGATTAACTTTTAATTACTTCAATGCCATTGTACTCGTGTGTTTGCGCCCCTTGGAGGCATCGTATTCGTGTCCAAATTGTAATCTTCATATTCAATAAACACTCCCTTTTGGGACTTTGTTCCAAGAGGTTTGTCCCTTATACAATCGTCTGATCCCTTTTAATTGTTAGCGAGTAAACCCGAGTGAAACACACTAGTATAAGTTGCACAATATTTGAGCATCATCCTTAATGACTCCATTGCCCTGGGGTAGTAAGAGCAGCAAGAACTTTCTCGCAGTGCGTAAGCACATCTTGGCAAGTGCAGGCAAAGATAACTCGAACTGTCACATGTAGAATCGCATTGTTCAGGAAAACATTCACGAAACTTGGGTTTTGGTTCAATCATCCATCATTTTCACTACAGTTGAAGAAAAGGTAGTAATTCTGGGAGGATAATCTCAAATGCGCGCTGATGTCAATACTAAAGGGTCTTGTGGGGCTAAAATTGTCACGGTCTTGGCAATTCCACATGAATGGATCCGTGACCAGAATGTGAGGATCCGTATAGCTGATGTTAGTAACTGGATATCTTCCTGAAGGGGTCCTGAGCTCGAGTTGTCCAGAGTTTGAGCATACAAGGATGTGTTTGTAATAAGGGTTGCCACAGCCTTCATCAATGCCGAAAGGGTAGTTTATGGGTATGTCTCCGCAGGATGTTCTGCACAGTTTTGCTTGGGATTCAGCTAGTTTCAGGCATGGAAATATGAGTACGAGAATCAGTAAGAAAGGTGAATTATTGTTAGAGGATAATGCTTTGATAGAGAATGGAGAAGCCATGGCTTGTTATCAAGATTGATATTATTCGAGATTTGTATTGCTTCAACTAGGAAATGCAAGGATTGAAGTGAACAAGTGTTATTAATGGGGGATGTACTTCTATAGCTTTCACCATTTTTTTTAATCTCCACCCATATTACATACTTTATTCCCACTCCATGCATAATGAATGGGTTTAATGAAATCTCCAAATCATGTTTTCTGTCGATAATAATTGAAAAAAGAGTTCAATCAATTTAGCCTCCGTTTGGCAAAATTTATCAAGTACTTATAAATTGTCAAAATTCATTTCAATGGATCACAATTACTATTAACTCATACATCTCTCATTTCTATTTATTTATAAATTAATTTTTTTATAAATTATTCCAAAGGAAGGCTTGTTATACAAAAAAAAACCAGTACCTAAACAAAGTAATAATGACAAATATTACTAATAGAAAAGTCAAGGGTAAAAATAATAATTTAAGATTAATAATAGATTTTTTTAGGTGATATTTAATTTAATTTAAATTATTTTTTATTTTTTTGAAAAATTCAATTTAGATAGTATTTCCATATTTAGACAAAGAAATGGAATATAACAAACTAAATAATAGTTCAAAAAAATTACGTTGGTAGTTAAGTAACAGTTTCAAAATAATTTAAGATTTTGAACGGATTTTTAGTAATTAATATTAAAACTAAATATTTTAAGACATTTTAATTTATTGACAAATTTTTCGTCAACAAATAGAGTAATAAAAAAAATTCGTACTAACCCTTGGGAATAAATTTAAAGTTAAAAAATGATTAATCCAACGGTAATATTATAAAGAAAAATAAAAATATATTTGAACTCAATTGTCGATAACTTATTAAAAAGGATAAAAAATAGAGAAAATAAAACTACATTGGTGATATTTAAAGCTTTCTGCTGGTGGTTGTCGATAATATCACCGACGATACTGTCATTGATTGACTAAAGTGTGTTGATGATCACCAACATTATCGATGATAATTGCATTCTAATCAATAATGCATTGGTTTCCACAATTTTAAATAGTACTATCGTTTGTAATCAATGATGAAATTTCAAATCAATAATCATTTTGCTCCATTGTCACGATCTTAGAATCTAATACTGTTCTAAAAAACGTAAAGCATGATGAGACGTGGAGGTTAAACTTCAGTGTAGGTGAACTTATGCGAGGCCTAGTCGTAAAAAACGTTTCTTATTTTAATATTATTTTAAATTGGGTTACATGAACTAAGAGAGAGTGCATAAATTGCATGGTCACAATAAAGAACTTGCACTATCACGAACCCAAATGCTTGCGTTTTTCGTATCTTGTTTTATTAGCGATTGATTGGTTGAACATGTCATATGATATGTTTTCTCTTTAGGTTGCATTCTTTTAGGTTGATATCCACAAGATTTCATTGAATTTGCAAGAATCAAAGTCACATAAAGATCGGATATGTACCTAACAATGGCTACATTTTCTGGAATGATTTCTTCGAACTTTAGGCAGGAAGATGAGTTTGGTAATATGTTTTCCAATGGATTATTGAGGTTTTGGTCTCTTCCAAAGGAGATGAAAGACCTGGTAATACTATGAGTTTGCAATAAGAGAAGAATTATGAAACTTGTACATTATTTATGTATAGTTTGGAAGATATTTGAATAGGTGGCAAAATCGATATTATTGAACGTTTAAGTGTTGGAGATATCAATGCTAAAATTATGTGCCACGTTGTACAATATAAAGTAGAATGTTAATTAGAACGTAGTAAAATAAAAATTAAAAAATAACTAATTTGTCTATAACTAATAAAAATTAAAAAAAAATACATAGAATAAAACTTCATTATTGATACTAGCACATTTCCATCGATTATCAGTAACCAAATAGCGTCAATAATTATCGACGTCACTACAGATATTTTTGTTGATAATCACTTATGGAGGTGTCGATAACTACCCACAATATTATTGTCCGTAATTCCATCAAAATCTCCAACAATAATAATTTGGCAACCAGTGTTAGAATTTCCATCGATCAAGGCCGACCTTAAAAATTTTGAGGTCCCTACATATAATTTTTTTTTCACAAGCATATCAGCATCAAACATTTCAAATCAAATAGTTTCTCATGATAAGGAACATTATACTATGGTACTAACTTACCGTTTGATTCTTTCGAGAATCGGTTTTCACGTTCAAGAAATAGAATATAAAGAATTTTTGAAAATCAGTGAAGTATGGGGTAACGACTATCATTTATTGTCCAAAATATCTTATATTTAAAAATTCAAAAGCAACAATAAAAATAAAAATTAAGACAATATTGGATAGAGAGACAACCTTATACTTTATTTGCACTACTACATCTTCATGAAAATATTTATTGTAAGAAATATCACGAATAATAAATTTTTTTGGGAAAAATTTACAACTCAGGCTTTATCTATCTCAAAATAAAAAATCATGTCCTAAGGTTTGAAATTGCAAAAATCATGTTTTTCATAAATTAATTAATTATATTTCACAATTATTATATTAAGTTAAATATTAAACTGTAATATAATATAATNAGATCCACCATCTCCACAACCACACATCCCCAGTTGCAGGATAAACAACAATAAATCAACTTCCATTAGCTACTGAACACTTAGATACGGAACACACAAAGCACAAACACCATCACACTCCACCTAAGCCACCACAAACGCCGGAAGCAGCGCCCAAAATGCTAGCAGCAGAGTCGATGCTGCTGTGTCCTAGCAGCATCGCGCTGCTGTGTAGCACAACAGGGACTCTGCTACGACACAGTAGCGTGTCGCACAGCAGCGGCGCAGCAGGGACGCTGCTGCGATACAATGGCGCAACAGCGTCACCCTGCTATATCCCACAACAGCGACGCTGCTGCGCCTCTGTCACACATCTGAGAGAGGGGAGATGAGAGAATGGGGAAGGGGGAGGAGAAAAGTGAGGGAAGGGAGGAGACCCAGATCTGATCGGCATTGTGGCGGTGGAGGCGGCGGGATGGGGAGGGGGATGGAAAAAATGGCAGAGGAGGAGGGAAGGGGAGGAGGAGATGGAAGGGAGGAGGAAAGGGGAGGAGTAGGGTTTGAGAATTGAAATTTAGGGTTGGGGTTGGGGTGGGTATATATTTAATTTAATTTAAAATATTATTATTAATATTAATTGTGAAATTAAAACCTGATTTTTGATTAAATAAAGTATAAACCTGATGATCATTGGGCCAGAATCGGGCTTGCCATTGATGATCATTTGCCCCCATTGACTTTATTTGTACGAATCCTCTAAGTAGTTTGAGCTACTCCGCCATCAATTAAAATAAACTATACATTTGAACTAATAGAACTATTTAGTCTCTTTTAATCCGTTGAAAGAAAAAAAAAAATAGCACATTTCACTCTTCGTTCATCATTCCTCCGTTTCCTCAAAAAGTAAATTGTCCTCTTTGTATTGACATTCATTTAAGCTACTTTGAACAACCAACATATTTGTTTTGAAAAAATATTAGGCATCATCATATATTGTAAGTCGGATTTTCCTAAGTAGAATTAGAACTTTGACCAGAATTATTTATGTGTAAACGGTGTGAAAAAGTATTTTTCTCAAAATCTCTGTGGTCTTATGAACTCTAACGTTCATTTCATCTTAGTCCAACCGACCATGCCTACAAAATTTCAACTTTTACAACTTTAATTTGAATCAATCCCAAGTGTCTCCCATTTTCTAAGGCTTTGTAATTTTAAGCACGTACATAAAATTTGAAGGGAGTCTTGAAATTTTATTTGCACGCCTTTAATCTAGGCAAACATGTCATCAAATTTTTATGAATAATTTTATCTAGCATTAGTTGTACTAGAAAACCAATATAAGTGATAGTAATTGATATGTCCAACTAAATATAAAAATATATGACCTATTTAATCAAATTTAGTGAGAATTAATACTACCTAGATGGGTATGTGAACCCTTAATTATGACCATTATTAGTTCTTCAAATCTTTTATTGTTTTTGAGTTAGGATACTTGGTACAATATGTGGTAAACCGAGTGTGGGAATATTTTGAGGAAGCTTTTGAATGTGAGAAAGCTATGAACTTTCTGCAATTGAGATTCTATAATAGATTTACTCAATCTTCTTCAATTAGTGAGTCGAAAAGGGATCAAGAGCTAGAAAGACACTATTGTTTAGCGTATCATCATGAAGATTATTGTTCGCATAAAGCGTAGTTTTGAGCTTTTTGTTATACAAATCAGATGTACAAAACAATAGATCAACTCGATCATATTACAAAACTTTACATCCAAACCATTGGACACCAAGGTATCAACGATCGAAGGCTCAGAGATATTGTACCTTTCTGCATCAACACAATAAACCCAGATTCATCCAAAAACCCTCACAATCACAAAAATCGTGCAACTTCTTCTATGGACTAGAAGAGTTCATCGTTACCAACAAGCAATATACTCTCTCACTGGATTTTAGCCAGAAAACCACTCTGAAAACATATTTAAGAGTAACTCAAAATCAAAAGAGAAGATGAAAGAGAAGACAGAATACTCTTGAATCGAAGAGAAGAATACCCGAAATGACAGAGACAATACGGTTTCAATCAAACCACAAGAATATAACGAGATGGGCAGCAGATAATCAAACGGTCCAGAGAAACTAACACTTTTAGTTATAAGGTAAAGGAACCAAAGTTACGTTTACCAAACACGATTCTTACTGGATTGATTATTGGGCTTGGGCTTCACAGGGTAACTTCAAGCAACGTTATTGAACAATAGCAATTGGACCACGAGTAATGAGCCGAGCTCGTACGCATTAGGCCGAGCCGAGCCCGTATACATTCAATTTTTTTTAAAAAAATAATATTAATGAAACTTCTAGGTTATTTAGATGTCCTTTTTGGCCTTTTGAAAATAAAATAGAATTTTTAAATGGTTTGTTGTTGATAAAAACAATGAA